TGTAAAGCAGTGGTTCCAAGCTGGTCCAACCACAAGGTCAAGATGCAGGTTCAAAGTCATTAGTTAAAGGTTCTCACAGTTTAACATATTCAGCGTCATACTTGCGTTTGGCCACGTCATCCAGCTAGTTTGCTGTCTCTGTCAAGTAGCTCTCCGTTAGTCACTCAATCACTGTTCATTTGCACACACCGTAGTGACACAGAGCTGGTTGAAACTACTAATTTACTTGGGACACTGCTTTATCACTTTGTCACAACGCACTGATTGATTACTGTCAACATTGCAGCAGTATTTGCCGAACAAGACTGGTGTCCAGCAGACATGCCCCAAGCATTTCAGAGCAGAGGACAGTGCTTACTTTGTCATGATTTTGAAACCTAATTTTAATTGCCGATTTTTATACATTGAATTTGACTGAGTAGTTAATTACACATTTTTCTGTGGTGTAACACACTCAAAATACATATTTATCTTCACTTTATTCAAGCTTTAATTGTCATTTTTCAAAGCTGTGAGCACCACAAACACATTGTAATCATTCAATCAATCATTCATTGTGTTGGGCTGAAGTTTCAAATCCTGTGCATGATTAGATTCCCGAACTGACCCTTTAAATTAATAAACAGATACGAGACAGATTACAGTGTCCATCACATAACTGATATCTGATAAAAGGTCAATATCAGCCTGACCCAATCAGCATATAACTGACAGATATCAGATTATTGCTTCCACTAATACCTCCACTGCCAATAAACCCAAGGACACACACATTTAAACACAAACACACACACTTCAGCAGTAAACTGGGAGCATGCGCTCGCTCCTTCCTCAATATCAACAGGAAGCCCCGCCTCCAGGAAGCTATTAACAGGTTACGGGATCATGTTTACAACACACACACACACACACACTGCACTGTAAAACAAGGCCTGTGTGCACTTAATGAGATCGAAGTGGAAGTGAAGGTGGAAATTGGCCGTTAAATGTTTGCTTGTGACTCTCTGTCCTGCGTTTGTACACAGAAGCTTTTGCAGCCGAGTTTGTTTTCGTGTTCTCGTGTTTCCACTTCTAAGGAAACACAGGAAGAGTTTGAGGCCTTCAGGGGACGTTTCTGCAAAGTGAGGTCATTTTGGCTGATTTGCATTTCTTCCAAGGAGTCACTGTTTAAAGGTTCAGTTCAGTTTCACAGGAATGATCCACACACAGTCCGAGAAATCATCATTTTATGGTTTTCAGTAAATGTCAGAATTTGAATACTTATCATTCTTCTGAGCACTTTAAGGACTTCTTGTTTCCACTGGTTCAAAAGTTGAGCTTGACAGTCCAGGCTTGACTTTGGAAACAGCAGAAAACAGTCTCAACTCAAGATTTACTCAGCTCCTGTCTACACGTGTACAGATATCTTCCTCTACGCTTTGGCCTCTCGTCCACAAGCAAACACAGTTTTAGGTTTTTGAAAACGCCTCCAAATGTGCAGATATTTTAGACTCAGGTCACTTTGTATCCCTGTGAACATGTAAAATGGAACATTTGGGAAACACTGACATCATTGCTTCACTTTGCGCATTGTGTCTTTCCCCAGTTCATTTACAATTTGTTAGCACAGCTCGGACTAATGAATACTTTACACTTTTTTTTTTTTTTAAAGATATTTTTTGGGGGCAATTTCAGCCTTTAATGGATAGGACAGACAAGTGTGAAAGGGGGAGAGAGAGGGGGAGTGACATGCAGCAAAGGGCAAACCTGGGCCGCTGCGGCAACAGCCTTGTACATGGGGCGCCTGCTCTACCACTAAGCCACCGACGCCCCAAGAATACTTTACACTTAAACGTAGTTGTGTGGTACCACTTCATGGACGAACGCAGCCGTCTGCTGTGCCAAATGTTTTTGCTTTATCTCAGTGTTTGTGGTTCACAGCCGGCCAGAAACAGCAGTTTCTGATCCGACTTCGTCAAAACAGCAGACAGTGAAGGACCTTCAAGAGCTCCAAAGCTCTGGATCAGCCTTCCACTTTTAATCAAACCCTCCACTGACACTTTCAAGACAAATCTTAAGGTGCATGTTTTCAATGACCTTTGGTTGCTCTTAGTGGTGTTAATATTTTTATATTTATGTATATATATTTTTATTTTATGTAACTGTTCTTACCGGTGTTATTCTATTTTTATAATTGTGTACTATTTGTGAACTGAACAGAATCAAACACTGCCCAAACATTGTGTCATGAACTATATTGAGAATCCGTCAGTTTAACTCTTAACGTGCAATAATGGTTCAACCTGTGCAATACTGCTTTTGATGTTTTTTTTCAAATGTATTGATTTGGGATGATTGTGCTCATGTATGTGTTGTGTATTTATTACTATCTATTTTTCTTTTTACATTTAGACATGGCACAGCAAATGTCACTGTACTTCTTGTGCAATTGCAATTATTCTATTCTATTCTACTTACGGAAGTCGCATGGACATAATGTTTTTTTTAAATGGAGGGGGAAAATATCTGTTTAATATCTCTACACGTGTAGACAGGGCCTTAATGGCTCTCTCTGGAGGTTGCAAGACCATGTGATACGGTTAAAAGCTCCCTTACAAATGAGTGAGTGGACCTTAGGTCAGGTTTAATTCAAAAATCTATCCTGTCATGTAGTTTTTTCACTTTCCCTCTGAGTGACACATCTTATTAAGTTTCATTCAAATGCAACACAGATGTACCATACTGTAAGACAAAGACCTAAAACACCCAGATAGGTAAGATTTATTACCAACAGCTGCCTTTTTATGAGTGTTAAAAGTCCATTCCCCAACTTTTTGATCATATATATTTGATGCATATTTAGAAACTTAACTCTGTTTTCATTTTGGGATGTAACGCTTAGAAAGTGTTTAGAAACTGAGATGAAGTTCTTGTCTAGCAGCTCCTTGCCTGCACAGATTTTTTTCAATGTGAGAATCTCCCAAGAATAAGAAGAAAATGTGAGTGTGCTCTGTAAAACTGTGTCTATAGACCAGGACAGACATAGACACAGGCAGATGTTGGTCTTTTTGTAGAGGACTATAAGTACCTGGGGGTACACATTGACAGTAAACTGGACTGGGTTAAGAACACTAACGCTCTCTACAGGAAGGGTCAGAGCCGTCTCTATTTTCTCTTTGTTTTCGACTGAGGTCCTTCAACATCTGCCGGACTATGCTGAGGATTTTCTATGAGTCTGTGGTGGCCAGTGCTATCCTCTATGCTGTTGTGTGCTGGGGCAGCAGGCTGAGGGTGGCGGACGCCAACAGACTTAACAAACTGATCCGCAAGGCCAGTGACGTTGTGGGAACGGAGTGTGACTCTGTCTTGGACAATGTCTCACACCCACTCCACCATGTGCTGGTCAGGCACAAGAGTACTTTCAGTGGGAGACTCATACCACCAAGATGTACCACTGAGCGCCACAGGAAATCATTCCTGCCTGTGGCCATCAAACTGTACAGCTCCTCCCTCTGAGTGGCCCTGAGACTTTCACACACTGCAATAACTTAATTTAACTTGTGCAATAACCCCATTCACCCTGACTGTATATATTCTGTTTGTGTAAATTTTGTTTACAATATATATGTATGTATATATATATATACATACATATATAATTTACGTTTATGTTTGTTAATAATTCCTGTTTATTTAACTATATATTTGTTAATACTATTGTTTAAATTTCTTATATTTTCATGTATCTTTCCTGTCTTGCAAGGAGCACCTGTAACATAAATAATTTCCCCTCGGGGATCAATAAAGTATTTCTGATTCTGATTCTGATTCTGATTAACTTATTCAGATTTTGATTTGAAATTAAGGTTTCGGTTTTTGTACTTCACCCATTTATGTAACTTGTCTTTTTAATGTTGCATGTAACCTCAGGTCCAGGTCCTGCAGTGGGTGAACTGGAGTCGCGCTCCTGTCTCAGCAGGCCGTCCCACTTTAAGTAACTGGGAGAGAGAAAAAGATGCAGGAGAAGGAAAACCAGTAAAGAAGAAGCGAAGGATGTGGTGGGGAGAGCAAACAGCAGCCAGCGGAGAGCTCCCCCTTTGTGTGGCTTTTTTACTGCTTCCTCCCGACCCGGCCGCATCGCTCACCACATCTCCGCCGCTGGAACAACGTAAACAGCTAAAGTCTCCATGCTGGGCGAGAGCAAGCCAAAACATTTCACAGTCACTGATGGAGACAAGAGGCACAATGACACGTATCACATGAACAGGCTTTAGCAGATAACAGCAGTGACACGGCTTTATGGAGGCCCAATACTGCCAAAACAAATGACAGATAAGGGAGAACAAAATTAAAATAATCAGGGTAAACTGCCAGTTAAGGTACAACTGTTTGTTGTTCTTTATGTTGCCCTTTACTTTCAGTTATGAGGCAATGAGACAAAATTATGATCAGTAAAAAGCCGAATTTACCAGGTCAGAGTTATGAGAAATAAAGTTAATCTTACTTTAAACAGCTGAAATACACGCAGCACATCACATAAAATCACAACTGGCTCACCTGTACCCATTTTTGACAGTCATGGGCTGGTTTGGTTTGGTTTGGCTTGGTTTGGGTCGTCACCTGGCGCAGCAGGGATTTGCGTCTCCATTACAACAGGTCTACCCACTTAAAGGTGTGTCTTTACCCGATGATGGCTCGTCTTGGGTGATGACGTTTAAAAGCAGCGGGCGGATCAATGCTCAAAGTCCCCTGTTATTTTTGCTTTTCCACAGCAGGGCAGGTAAAAGAAGTTTACCTGTTGGAGGTGAGCTGTTTGTGTGCAGCGAGTCGAGGTGCTTGGTGGCGAGTTGCAGACACACACAAGGCCATGATGATGTAACTGATTAACGAGCGCTTAAGTGACACTTCAATGGCGACTAATGCAGCTGATCACGCTGTTGAGTTGAGAACACACGTAAGAAGTTTTCTTCAGCCTTTGTCTGGACAGAGAAACAGACACACTAATAACATCAGTGCAGTAAAGTAACTCATTTATTCATATAAATTATATTCATATGATGTGAGTCTGAGGCAATGAGCACGTTTTAAAATTACAAAACCAATGCAAACAGACAACAATGAAAGACGTCAACCAGCTGCTAAAACATGTGCTAATACACACATATACACATGTAAACACACACACACACACACACACACAGAGGTCATACAGCAGACAAGCACCGTCTGTTTTCATAGCTGCAGCTGTCCTGATTGGATGTAACATCCATATCACCACACACACACACACACACAGACACACATGCAGAATTGGAATGTCCCAGCCAGACTGTGCTCGGCTGTACAGCTGGATATCCTTAAGAGGTGCAGAAAGACCAAATCCTGATTAACCCACTGACCCCTGAGAGAGACCACCAAGGTGGACATTTAAAGTCACACTCAGACTCACACACGTACACAGACGCACACGCACACGCACACGCACGCACACACACACACACACACACACACACACACAGACGCACACACACGCACACACACACCCCTGTCTGGCAGTGTCGGGGCTAAACTCAGTCTGTGTGTTTGTGCTGCGGTCTGAGGGAGGGCGAGGTCGTCCTCAAGTGAAATGGACAGGTGATCAGTCCGTCTCCTCGCTCTCCGTCCTCTGCCTCTCTCCTGACGCTCGGATGTCCTTGAGGATGTGGGACTGGTGGAGGAAACACTCCTTCAGCTTGTCCTCGGTCAGGGTGAGACGCTCCTCCAGCACTGAAACAGTCTTTGTGTTTGAGGAGGTGGGAGGGGGGGTGGGTGCAATAATTATAAAGCAGTCAGAGAATAATTATAGAAGTAGAAATTCTGAAGGGCACAGATCAGTCTAAGAGCCTTGTAATAAATCCTGACGCCATTGTGGGAAAATCACAGAAGAGCTGAAGAGAGACGTTTTAGTTTCTGTGACACATCAGGGAGGTTTTCTTTTTTCCAGGGCAGCAGCATTTTGACCTTAACGCTGACAGTAGCTCATAAACACGGCTCTGATTATAGAATTATACTAAGAGTTTACAGCCTTAGATTCTTCTGTAACAGTTTGCATTAAATGATCATATGATATCGTCTCATACTGATCACAGGCCCCTGAATCACATCAAAATCATACTGTGATAGACCTTCATTAATATAGGCTTATATTTTATCTCCAAGTGCACATCACACACTGAGCGAGCCGCCTGTTAATGACGCTGTGGGCTAATGGGCATGTAGCTACTTCCATGTTTCACATGATACGTCATGTTTGTAGTCGACCAATGAAGATGAGTTTACATATCACCTTGGGTTCGTCCTTCACCTTCTCAAAATGATCCCACACTTTGGATTTCCTGCCCGACATGTTATTAACTAGCCTGTGGAATAACCGCAGGTACCAGCCCTGGAAATTACCCTGACTCCTGTCTGACTGCTGAGCGTGGACACTTCCTGTTTCTGTCCTTTCAAATTAAAGTCCTACATGGTCCAGTCATAGAGGTTTAGATTTATTTTGGTAAAGGTGCAGCTCCTAATAAAGTTTCTTTTTTCTGCGTCTAAGCGACCAATGAAATCTTGCCGACTAATGACGGGGGCAGCCCTAGAAACTGGTGATTTATGCCCCTAGTAAAAGGGGCCTGTGTAAAAAACACTTCACATTGTACATTCATTAATGTTTTTCCCCTAAATTCACGATTTGTTTTTCACCTCTCAGGCTCGTTTTGTTGGATATTTAATGAAAGAAAGGACATAAAAAGTTAACGTTATTAAAAATAACTGTTCAGTAGAACACATTAATAAATCAAATGAGAAGAAATATGAATATAAATATACTGAACACATAAATCCTCCAGTCACACTGTATCTGCAAGTCAAATCCTCAGCCCACTATGTCTGTGCAGTGACACCTGCTCTGACAGGTGCACAGGAGGGACAGGTAAACCATAAAACCTACTTCTACTGGCGTCTGTGTTTGTTTTTTAATATTTGATTTGGCCTCAAATGGAAAATCACCGTGAGCTTGATGAAGCAGATTCATAACTTGCTTTGACCGACTTTCTTATTATGAAAAATTCTGCATTCTAGATCATCAAAGACATTTTCATGAGTAAATGTGACCTGACACAGATTAAACCCTTCAGTTGGAGGATTATTAACTTTAAGCAGTGACCTGTTGGCCCTCCTCCCACACTTTAATTTTCCACCTATGATGTTTTTTTTAGGGTTTCTTAATCTGCCAGTACCTTGAGTCGTCAGTCCGGACCTTTAATAACTCACCTGTGTTAGAATATCCAGCTGTTTAACAATGTGCTGCAGCGTCGAGTCCAGACTCGATGGATGACCTGAGAGAACTTCCAATGGATGCGTCTGCCCTCTCTCCTCTTCCTCCTCCTCTCTCCTTCCTCTTCCTCCCCCGCCAGCTCTGGTCTGGCTCCAAGTACCCACACCTGCCCCGCTGGTACTTTCGTCTCCCATCCATCCTCCCACTCTTGAACTGGCCACGTGACGCGCCGGCAAACCGTTGGAGTGGTGACTGTTGGTGGTGGCCCGCGTGGGTGTCGAGTGTGTTCGACCGTTTAAGAGCTGCAGATGAAAGTAAGAGAGAGGAAGAAAGACTGATTGATTTTCAGTGCATTGTGCTCTCCTATATTTGTGCTGGTGGGTTTTTTTTGACACAAGTGCTGTACTCAGGTCTGCCTGAATTTTTCTCTCATCAAATGTACTGTATCCCAGAAGACACCCACACTGAATCAAATCACCACTGTGACACTTTGACATTTAATTGGGGCTGTGCCACTGAAAACAATGGGACCTCTAAATAGTACCCCATTAAAGGCGCCCTGAAGTGTCCAGTCTGATTCAACACTCAGCTGGAAATGTACAGGAAGCAAAGAGTTAGGGATGACTAGAAACTGTACCCAGTGTGCTCACTTTTAAACATTTGAAACATCTTAAATTTGTTTAAGAACTCAAAGAACTTTGCGTGAAGGCAAAAATTTAATCTGTCAGAGGAACTGAAATCTCAGTTGAAGTGTCAAAACTGGATGGTGTTCAAATTTGAACTGAAGTGTGAGAACAGGATGGAGTTGAAGCATCAGGTGAAGTGTAAGCAGTGGATGCTTAACTAGAATTACCGCCCCCTGGTTGTGTGACTCCGCCCACCAGTCCAGTGTCTCTGACAGTCTCCATCCATGTCAGTGAAAACATGGATGCTTCACACACAGAAGATCTATACAATCAGCACAGTTTCAAGATTAGAGTCACCAATTCAGTATCTGACCAAATGTCTCCCCTTCTGTTCCTGAGATATGACGTTAAAACATGATGATGTCACAGTCAAGCTGACCTTTGACCTTTTGGATATAAAATGTCATCACTTCATTATTTTATTTAATTAGACATTTGTGTGAAGTTTTGTCATAATTAACTTATGATGTCTTGAGTTATGGTCAAAAACATATTTTGTGAAGTCACAGTGACCTTTGACCTTCGACCACAAAATTCTAATCAGTTTATTCTTCAGTACAAGTGGATGTTTGTGTCAAATTTAAAGAAATTCCCTCAGGGTGTTATTGAGATACCATGTTCCAGAGAATGAGACAGACAAGGTCACAATGACTTTGACCTTTGACCAACAAAATCCAGTTAATCTTTGAGTCCACATGAATGTTTGTGCCAAAATTGAAGAAAACTCTTAAAGGGATAGTGCACCCAAAAATGAAAATTCAGCCATTATCTACTCACCCATATGCTGAGGGAGGCTCACACAGAGGCAGTTAGAGCTGCAGACTACAATGAGGCTAAAAACAGAGTTCAAATGACGTTTTTCAAAACAGCTTTTTATGTCGGGGCTTCAGGACACTTGGATCACTACGGACGAGCTGTATGGAGATATTTTGTGGTTTCAATGTGTTTTTGGACGTTTTAATCTGGGGCGCCACCAGCCTCCATTAGGTGGAGTTGTGCTGCTACCCACTCTCCCCTGGGATCTCCGCAAGGGATGTGAGGACTCTAAAACTTCACCTGAGCCTCCCTCGGCATATGAGTGAGTAGATAATGGCTGAATTTTTATTTTTGGGTGCACTATCCCTTTAAGGTATTCTTGAGATATCACATTCACAAGAATGAGACAGACAAGGTCACATAGACCTTGACCTCATAAATCTAATCAATTCATCGTTTAGTCCGAGTGGACATTTGTGCCATGTTTGAAGAAATTCCCTCGAAGCGTTCTTGAGATTCTTTCATGAGGATAAGACAAGAATGGGATGGACGGACATACAGAGTTATGGACAAAAACATGTTTTGTGAGGTCACAAAATACCTTTGACCTTCAACGACAATATTCTGGTCCATTTATTTTTCAGTCCAAGTGGATGTTTGTGTCAAATTTGAAGAAATTTCCTTGAGGCCGTCCTGTGGTATTGCATTCACAAAGCTGGGACGGTCAGACGGACAACCTGAAAACACAGTGCCACATCTATCACTGGCATTGAGGCATAAAAAACAGGTAATGTGCAGGATGGTTGGAGACCCTGGTGATCTTTGAGGCCCTACTGCAACACCTAGACAGGTGGATATCCTCAGTAGCCGGTAACTGTGTCCCGATGATATTTTGGGTCATCTTGGTGACTCGCTGCAGGGCCATCTGGTCCTGCCTGGTGCCGTACAAGCTGTGATGTAGCTCAGCACACTGTCCACTGTAAAAGACTACAAGTTTTTGAGACAGTCCCGGGGCAGGCCTGCTCTCTTCAGCCTCAAAAAGCAGAGGCGCTGTTGTGCCTTCCCGTTGACAGTGAAGCTGTGTGTTGCCCAGGAGAGGTCCTCTGTAATGTGCATCCCCAGTAACTTAAAGCTGGGGACACTCTCCACAGCCCCACCATGTCTGAACACTGGGCTGTTTTACTGAAGTCCATCACAGTCTCCTTTGTTTTGTTTGGTGTTCCAGGTCAGATTGTTGGTGGAGCACCAGGCTGTCAGATTGAGTATCTTGTCCCTGTGTGCTGTCTCGTCGTCTTTGGTAATCATCCCACTGACTGTGGTGTCGTCAGCGTACTTTGAGATGGTGTTTGCTGCATGGACAGGTCGACAGTCGTGGGTGAAGAGTGTATACAGCAGAGGGCTCAACACACACCTCTGCGGCGGTCCAGTATTCAGGGTGAGAGTGGAGGATGTGTATTCTCCAAGTCTGGCGTTCTCTGGGCGGATGGTCAGGAAGTTCAGCGTCCTGTATTATGGGTTTTGTGGATTTCATTTAAAAGTGTGTCTGGGTCTTAACACGACAATCTGTCAAAAAACACATATTTTATTGGGGCCCCACTCAAAATAACCACCTGTGAGTCCCGGGGATCACGACACTGAGAACCCATCATCACTGAATAATACACCATAGATGGAGCCCTAAACATTGAGCCTGCTTTATTGCCCGATCTGACAGAGGAATCAAAGTGTTAATTACCCGGGCTCATGTGCATTGGTGATACATATAAAGGTTCAGCCAACATCCTTCCTGCCTCATTGTTCTGTCAGTGGTGCAGGCCTTGAGCCTGCTGTAACTTGGCAGACTGAAGGAGGTGGATGACTCACACTGCTGGAATACTGACTGAATGACAGACTCTCTGACCGACTGACTAACTTGCTGGCTGAAGAGTTCACAAGGTTATTTGCACTCAAAGGCAGGGAGAGCCGCACAGCCAATGAGAGAAAACCTATTTTTTCTTTTTATTTGACCTTTACTTTTATTGAGAGCGGTTTTGACGAAATCATTTTCCTTTGCACGAGTAAAGAAAAACACGTGGAAATGGAGACCGAACAAAGAGAGAACATTATGTTCAGTTTAACCAGGGACACATTTTCCTCGTTCATCACTTATCCAGGCAGAGACAACTGAGCATGACTTCACATTTAAATAGTTTCACACATGCACAACAGAAGCTGCACATTACAGGAGTGTGTGATTCAAGCTAGTGACTTTCCAGTCACGAGACTTCTGCTTCAGCTTTAGCTGAGATTTTCAACCAGCACATTGAAACACACTCATGTAAAAGTTTCACAAACTGTGTATTGATTTCTTGATAAACCGACTGACAGATAAAAGTCAGCTTTTGTAGGGCTGCAGGAAGAACAGAATTAGCTCATCTCAGCTCTTTATCTAACATGCATTATTTTTTATTCCACTTTTAGGATCCATTAATCAGTTTTTGATTTATCATTTAAGCATTTAAAGCTGGGGTACGCAGTTTGATTTTGGCACTACTGGGCAAAAATCCCATAATAAACATTGAGCACATAGTAATTTAAGTGGTCTGAGAGAACACAAGATTTCTGCACCTCCTCTTGGCTCTGTTTTCAGGTTCTAGAAAATCTAGCCAGTGACAGGAGACTTTGGCTAATATCAGGTCATTTCAAAGAGAGGGTGTGTCTACTGGCTGTTCTACACATGCAGATGTGTGTGCATGTCCCTTTAGATGGTGAAAGCCTGATTCAATGGTGGAGAATCCTGCAGAGAAAGTTGCTAATCCAGCATTGGCAACAACTGCCTACACTGCAAAGCAGCCTAAAAAAAGAAGACGGACTAATCAAAGAGTTTTAAAAAAAAAAAGGTCTGACAATAAACTGAATAAAACATATTTCAGCATCGGGGAAGTGTTTCAGAGATGGAGAGAAACTGTTGCTAATAGTTTAGCCTCCTGCTAACTGGAGCTAAAGGCTCACTGCTACAGCTTTAAGTTCAGGTACAGTACAGGCCAAAAGTTTGGACACACCTTCTCATTCAATGCGTTTTCTTTATTTTCATGACTATTTACATTGTAGATTCTCACTGAAGGCATCAAAACTATGAATGAACACATGTGGAGTTATGTACTTAACAAAAAAAGGTGAAATAACTGAAAACATGTTTTATATTCTAGTTTCTTCAAAATAGCCACCCTTTGCTCTGATTACTGCTTTGCACACTCTTGGCTTTCTCTCCATGAGCTTCAAGAGGTAGTCACCTGAAATGGTTTCCACTTCACAGGTGTGCCTTATCAGGGTTAATTAGTGGAATTTCTTGCCTTATCAATGGGGTTGGGACCATCAGTTGTGTTGTACAGAAGTCAGGTTAATACACAGCCGACAGCCCTATTGGACAACTGTTAAAATTCATATTATGGCAAGAACCAATCAGCTAACTAAAGAAAAACGAGTGGCCATCATTACTTTAAGAAATGAAGGTCAGTCAGTCCGGAAAATTGCAAAAACTTTAAATGTGTCCCCAAGTGGAGTCGCAAAAACCATCAAGCGCTACAACGAAACTGGCACACATGAGGACCGACCCAGGAAAGGAAGACCAAGAGTCACCTCTGCTTCTGAGGATAAGTTCATCCGAGTCACCAGCCTCAGAAATCGCAAGTTAACAGCAGCTCAGATCAGAGACCAGATGAATGCCACACAGAGTTCTAGCAGCAGACCCATCTCTAGAACAACTGTTAAGAGGAGACTGCGCCAATCAGGCCTTCATGGTCAGATAGCTGCTAGGAAACCACTGCTAAGGAGAGGCAACAAGCAGAAGAGATTTGTTTGGGCCAAGAAACACAAGGAAT